AAGAAAATTGGCAGAGGAGCGGGGGAGAGTGCTAGGTGTGGAGTGTCTCAGAGCCCAACTCCCGGCGTGGCCAGCCTGTGCCCCTCATACGAGGCTGGGAGGGGTAACCATTTCGCATGCAGCTCCCCTCTGCTCAGGTGGTGTCCACACTCCGAGTGACTGTGACATGCTCAGACTAGGTCAGATGACCTTCAGTACACATGCACCTGAGGACTGTCTGACTCTGTACCAAGCCCCTGACCCTTCCTTGCCTTTTTTTTGTTGTGGGCATGGCCTGATTTGGGCCTGGGAAAGTGGAAATCTTCTCAGTATTCCCTGATCCCCACTGGCAGTTGGTACAGGTGTGCACTGTGCTCCTTTCTCAGCTTCTTCCTTTGACCAATCTGTGTGTACAGAGAACTTGGAGCTTGGGCCTAGATCGACACATGGTTCTGGTCCCAGCTCTGCCTTCATCACCACAGTCACCGTCAACAAGTTCCCTCTCCTCCCTGAGCCTCAGTCTCCTCATAAAATGAAGGGGTGGGATAGATGAGCCCTTATGGCTTCCTTTGCTCCTAGATAGTATGAAGAGATAGTTATAGATTTACTGATACATTAGAGAGAGTTATTCTACTTCATTATTTGGTGGGAAACTTTCTCCAGCTTGGTTTGAGTAGAGCCTCAGATTATGCATTCTTCAGTATTTATCGAGTGTCATATTTGCCAAGGTGACATTTTAAAGGATGTTGTAATATAATTGCTGCTCTTTCCTGTGTGCAGCTTGTATGTGTATTTGAAACGAATATTCTAAATTTTGTACTTGCTTCCTGAAATGGTGACCTAAGTAACTGGAGCCCATCAAGCTGCCCCAGGCTGGGATGGCTTTGAGGTTGTGTTAGAAGAGCTAAGAATTGTTTTACACTCCTGAATCACAGAAATTAAGAGTAGCTTGAAGAATCTGTAACACCCCGACTCCTCTTCCTCTGATTGCAGGCAGCCTGTTTCTCTGACTTGTTCTCAGACTTGCGTTTATGTGTAGATCTTCTGCCTTGTTTGCTGTGTCTTTTTCATGCATGTTTGTCCTGTCTTCCTTGACCAGAGACACGGCCACAGGGGCATGCTCAGATCAGAATGGACCTCGAGTTTCACCTCCTCATTGGACAGATGGGGAAATAGGAGCCTGACAGGCTGAGGGACTTAACCAAGTCCCTCATAAGTGGGCCCAGAACCAGGGGAGGAACGCCCTGTCGGGTACCCTGTCCCACAGCTGCTGTGAGGGCAGAGGCCATGTTTTTCCCAAGGGCCTCCTTTTTTGCCATTAGGAAATCTTGAGACTAGTTGGCACTTGCCAAGGTCTGTACTATCTGTTCATGAGGTAGAGGAGCTCATGTGGAGAAGTGTGACGTCTCTCTCCCAGGGTGACACCTGATTCAAACTCGAGTTGGCAATAGATCCTCTGGTTTCTTTTTCCCACTTTCCCCCACATCTGCCTCGCTAAAAGTCCATTGCCACTTTGAACTGAAATGAACCAGCCTAGTTGAGATTTTTTTTGGTAAGCAGTGCAGTACAACTCTTAACATATTAATTTTTATGTTTCCAATTTTACAGCAGTGCCATAGTTTGTCAAGGTAGAACCATCTCTTTATCTCTCAGTGTTCCTTTCTCCCTGGGACTCCTCTGGTGGGTAGAACAGTGATGGGTCATCAGACACAGGCAGGGGGCCTGAGCTCCCCGAGTCTCCACAGCCCAGAGCCTGTGTGGCTGCTCAGTCTAGCCATTGCCTAGGTAACCGACGCTCAGCCAGTGAAGCAGTCTGTCCACAGTGAGAGGAAATAAAAAATGGAACTGTGGTGTTTATTCTTTATGCACTACAAATTTTTTGAATGTTACTAGATTTTGAAAAACGTTGTTTCACTTCTCTGTTGGATTTTGGCCTGTGTACCCAGTGTGTGACCCTACTGTTTCCTGAATTGCGTATGTCTATTTTTGCAGTGTACTTGTTTGAAAGCTGTGATCTGTTGAATGCAGTTAAGTTTTCGTTCCCCAGTGATTCCTAGGAGGACTGCATTTCATATAAGTTTTCATGGGCAGGTGGTAAAGCAAACATATTCCACAACTTATTTGGTTAGATTTTGTGGGAGTTCATGTTTTAAAAAAATGTCCCTTCCTGTGGGGGTGTTTTGCCGTTTGGTGTGCTCTATTTCCTTAGTAACTGTTGCTCTGTTATGGGAGGGACTTAATGACATTTTTCAAGTGCAGTATTGAATTAATTTATTTCCTGGTTGGTCCTGCCCATCTTCCCAGTATAAATAGAACATCTGTGTGTGTGTGCGTGTGTGTGTGTGCGTGTGTGCATGCGTGTATGTGTAGACGACAGGATGATGGTAGCATGCTTGCTGTAGAGGGGACTCTGGAATGTATGGCTCAGGATCACTCTGTGCCCTTGCATCCTGGGTAAGTTACCTCTTTCTGTCTTTATTATTATTCTTTCTTTTCTTCTTCATTGTCCTGATTTGAGTATTATCAGGCTTAAAAGCATTTCACTTTAGGGAACTACCTGAGATTCAGAAGTGGCATGGGAAAACAGTGGTTGGAGGGGCAAGAGACCCAGGCATTAGTCCTGACTCTCCTGCACACTAGTTTTGGGGGCTAAGTTATTTAACCTCTGTGGGGTTAAAGTTTTCTCTCTGTGGTTTGAGGGGATTTAAAGCAATGACTTCTAAGGGCCTTGACTGGATAGGACGTTGTGTGAAGTGTGAGTGCAGTGGGAGTCGTCACTCACAATCACTGTCTCATCTTGACTAGTGGGGGCATAGGAAAAGCTCTGCCAGCTCAGAGGCTCAGCGCTAGAGCTGCGGAACAGCCTCACAGCCTGGGAAATGTCGCGTGTCAGTTCACGGCTTGGCGTGGGTTTGTTTTGCAGGTATTTGCTAAGCCCTTCTGTGTGCACCCCTCTGAACAGCAATGGCCTTCATCCACTCATCCATTATTCAGTAAACACGTATTTACTGAGTGCCTGCTGGGCACCAGGCAGTGTCTTAGATGCTGAGGGAAAATGGAGAGTCAGCCAGTCACTGTCCTTGTCCTCATGGCACTTAGAGTCCAGCGGGAGAGATGGGCGCTAAGCCTTCAGGACCCTGCATGCGGCTACTACTGTGAGAAGTGCTGGGAAGCCAGAAGCTGGTAAACTGGCTCCGAATTTAGCCTGGGGGATGATAAAGGAGGCATCTCTGAGGAGCATTGTTTGAGCTGAGACTAGAAGTTGAGCAGCGAATCGTGAGCAGGAACCACATGGGAGTTGTAGATAGGAAGGACAAGCCTATGAGGCACCATTTGTTCAGTTTCTCTGCCTTTTTGCTGTTTCTTGGTTGGTTACTAAGATGTGAAAGCAGAGGTGCTGTGCCTCTGCTGACTTGATCTCCATTACCCTCTTCTGTTCCCCAGCCCGTTGGGTGATCTGACACTTTGTTACTGAGCCCTATTCCGGATGGTCACGTTCCTCACTGGTCTGGGGACCTTCCCTTCTTTCTTGTATATTTCTAGAAAGGATATCTTATCTGTACTGTTAGTAGTTAGGAAGAAAACATTTTATGGCAGTTACAGTTTCATTTTAACTTGAAAATTGCATATAAGGAGACTCAGAGTATGTAGGAATATTCAAGTTATCCATTAATGAGATAACACAATTGTGTCCCTCTAGCGCTTGTTGGGAACCACAGACATCATGCCCTAAAAATCCTGACCAAGACCATGCCTGAGACCTCAAAATGAGCTGTTACACACCTGTTGTCATACCTCTCTTTTAGAAGAAGTAAAGTTAAGAATTGCTGAGAGTAATAAAGACAGAAAAAGAAAAAAAATTATGTTGTTTCTTCTAGTTCTATCCACATCTGCCTCAATCTTTCCCATAGCCATTTGAAATGTGATATAGGATAGCTTGATTTTAAAAAGTGAGGTAGCATACCTTTTGCAATGAAACAAAATAATATAAACAAAAACCCCACAATAAAACAACAAAAACCTCACCATACTTGAGTTTGTCTCTGAGTTCAGAGAAAGAGAAAAATGAAGTCTAGCATTCGTGTGCATTGAAAGCATCGTAGAACAGGGCAAAGGAAGATTTTAAGGCAGGTGGGCTTTTATTTTTCTGGCAGTTCCATTTCCTAAAATTGATAACTATAGTGCATGTGATTAGTTTACTTTAGAATTTGCTGTAGGACTTTGGGATGCTGGTACTGTGTGTGTTGGTCATTTTATATGGAACAGTTTATAGATTAAATTTGCTTTTCTGTCCCACTATTTTTTTTTTTTTTTGGTGAGGAAAATTAGCCCTGAGCTAACATCTGTTGCCAGTCTTCTTCTTTTTGCTGAGGAAGATTGGCCCTGGGCCACCATATGTGCCCATCTTCCTCTGCTTTATATAAAGATGGGATGCCACCACAGCATGGCTTGACAAATGGTGTGTCAGTCTGTGCCCGGGATCTGAACCTGCGAACCCCGAAACAGAGCGCACACACTTAACTGCTGCGCCACCGGGCTGGCCTCTCCTTCCCACTCTTTATAAAAAATTAATACGGGTCTTTATTTTTGCCCCCTTAAGAGTTACTTTTTAAAACCGCTCAACCCAAGTCCTTCCTGGAGTGCTAACAGCAGTGGATATGAACCTCAGACCCCGCTTCTAAAACCTTGAGAACCAGCTTGGGAAAAGGGTTTCTTCTTTAAGGTGTCTGTGAATCATGAGTAACTTGGGGAAGGACATTTGAATGTCGTGTGACCTTTGTAGCTGTTCTTAGAGAGGCTTGGAGCAGTGAATGCTGTCTTATGGGCTCCTGCCCCTTCACAGGCACTCAGGAAAAGGTGCCACAGCCACCCCCTCCCCAGAGCTACCCCAGTGCCCACAATGTGGTCATGAGCACAGCTCTGGGTGGCTTTTTCTTTTTCTGTTTTGGCCTCTATGGGTTTACTAAATTTAATGTTCCTTCAGGTCATCAGGAAAGTGATCTTTTTCTTTTTAATTTCAGCAAGTGGAGAGGCGAAGCACAGGGAACAACGGATCAGACCATACTGAACTCCCTTGGAGTGACTGAGATCCGTGGAGGATGCTGGCTGCCAAGTGGCTGAGGAGGCCCTCACTCTGAGGTGGGAAAGCGGGTCTCAGCTGGACAGCTTCCTCCACTCCTCGGCTCACCATGGCCTCCACTCTCTGGCTGGACGGCTGACGTGACTGTGTGCCCCAAGTGTGCACGCTGTGGGACTGGGTGCCGTCCCAGGTACTGCCTGCTCTCAGGGTCTGGGAGCAGGGCAGGTGGGCATCAGATGCTACCAAAAGCCGGACAGGGCAGAGCGATGGACTCCGACAAGCTAAGATGGAAGTGACCTGAGGCCTCATCCAGGCGATTTCCTCTTGACAGGACAGCTTAAGAGTTGGAGCACAGGCTTATCTGGGGAGCAGTATGCAGGAAGCTGGTTTTCAGGCCACAAATGCTTTCACAGGTGAGAATCCTCCACACTTAAATGAAAACTTTATTTTAACTCTTAGTTGATAGGTAATAAAATAGCAAACAGCTGTATAAAATGAATGTACATTTGCATTTATGAACTGAAGGCCATACAGAGTCAAGGGGCTCAGGCTACCATGGTGACTGATTTTCACAAAATAATAGCTTGTATTCCTTCTCTCTAAATAGGAATTTGAAAAAGCATTTGATGTCTTAAGATTTTGGTTTTGTTGAGTAATAGGGCACACACAATATGCTGCAAGTTGCTCTTCTCTAAAGGAAATATGTCATTTGCAGAGCAAGGTACAGGGGATATGTTTTTCTTTACAGAGCTGGGAAGACTCTCCAAGGGAATAAAGTTATTGCTGATGAGTAACCTCTCCCTCCCCATCTTCCTCAGATTTATTTGTGTGCAAGTGGTAGTGGGGTGGCGACTGCTGAACTAACCTTGCAGTTAGAATCCTTCTCCTATAAATGAGCCCGCAGAGAAGCCTGGCATCACTATTTGACATTGATTTGCCTCCTGGCTACCAGTTTGCACATGTTGCAGGGAACCACCGAGTCTGGCTGGTACCCCAGATCCATGGCCTGAGACACGGGGGCCTTTGAATTTGGGTCCTGGTTCTTTGTCTTATTCACTTAATATCCCAAGAAGCCACTTAATCCTTCTGGGTCTCTGACTTCTTATTTATAAAATGGAGGCTGTGAGGTTGAAGAACCTCATGGAATCTAGGGAAAACATTTTTACATACAAAGAGGGTTTTTTTTTTTTTAAAGGAAAGATGGTACAATAGTCACAAGAAGTGACCATATTCTCTGGTCTTGTGAGTCCTAAAAGTTTGCAGCTTTTCAAATTTTGTGGAGAGAGCAGGTCAGGTTGTCGGGGTGCCTGGAGAGAGGTTGTGGCTCAGGCTTGTGAGCCACACAGACTTGGCTTGGACTCTGCCTTGTCCACTGACTAGAGCTCTGCTCCTGGACAGTTGTTGAGCTCTTTTCCATTTCCCTTTGCTCATTTGTAAATGAAGATGGTCACGCAGCTCTCCCAGTGTTGCTCTGAGGAAAAATGAGGCACCATATGTGAGATGCTGAACGCAGAGCATGATGCTTTCCAGGCCTTGGCTGTTTCCTGATGTGGAGTCGCAGTGTGGAGCCAGGTTGCCTGGTCCAGTCCTTGCTGCTCCGTGCACTCGGACCTTTGAGCAAACGCCTTTGATCTCTCAGCATCTGCATCTGTAACATGAGAGCCTCCATTCTGGGGCCTGTGCTGGGGAAGGTCCTCCTAGGGTGGTCATGGCCCATTGAAAATGAGTGAAACAGCTATTGAAATGTAGATTTAGAATAGTTCATGAAGTTGAGCTCTCTAGAACTATCTTCAGACTTCCAGCCTGGCTGTCCTGAAACCCTGCCTTCCTATCCTCCCTTACTGGGTACACTTCAGCTGTTTCAGTCACATGAGCTGCTGCTTCATGGAATGTCACCTCCCGCTCTGGGCATGCAGGGCCATGACAGGAAGCACCTCTGTGAAGTGGCCAGGTGCACCGCCCTTCAGATTCTCTTCCCCACTCCCTGGGAGGCAGCTGGATAGGGAGAGGCGTTTAGGAGGTGCATGGGAAGAAGCTTTTAAAAGCAGTTCTGAGAGGAGGAGAGAACGAGAAAAGATAAGGAAGAGAGGATGAGACAAGAAGAATCTGAGGAAGAGCGATATAGGATTCAAAATGTAGACTAGTCTAGTCCCCATGCTCCCCAGCTGTGTCCTTGCCCAGCGATGGGGTGAAAAGCTCCTGGAGTTCTTGCCTCCCCTGTCTGGCTGCTGAAGCTCCTGCCTTACTGGCAGTACCCTCTTGGGCAGTTAGCCCTTTAGAGGAACCTGACCGGGGAGTGGAGGTGACAGGGGAGGGATTGTAGGCACAGTCTCCTCACTCTCCTGAGCCTGGTGCTGATCTGCTGTGGCTCACACTTAGATAGTTGTGGCCAAGCCTCATCACTCATTGGGGTGCTCTGCAACTCCGCTGCCCTGAGGGAAAGAAAGCCCCCACTCCGTCAGGATCCCAAGCTGTCCTGAGTCTGAAGCCTTGGGATAGTGGGCTCTGAATAATGAAAACCCGTAGGTTTTGCCTGGAGAATTCAAGGTAGTTAGCACAGTGCCTAGTGTATTAATTAAGGCCCAAGGAAATAGTGGCTGTTATTATGACTGTTACCACCCCAGTAGTGGGCTGTGCACAGGGCCCTGCATCACCTCCCCACACGCATGCTCTCAGGCACCTTCTCGAAGCTTCTCCCCAACCCATATTTTCTTAATCTTCTTTTAACTCAAAGTTTTCCTAAGAACACTGTTTCCTTACAAATTTGGCCTTCTCCCAGTTGCATCAGCCTGAATAATAATCATACTAGTAGTAGTAGTATTATAATAACCATGGCTAATATTTTGGAGAACTTACTGTGTACTTTATCTGTGTTACCTCTGTCAGTCTTCACAACAACTCTGAGGCCAGTGTTAGTATGCTGGAGTTGCTGGTGCAGGGGGCACATTCAGAGTAGCCAGGAGTTAGATTGAGCTGATGGCCTTTCCAAATCTTCTAGCGCTGTGTGCAACCTTGGCTGCACATGGGGGTCACCTGGAAAGCCTTACCGCTGCGTGGGTCTCACTCTCAGAGATTGGGATTTAATTGGTCTCTGCATCATCTAGCCCTGCTAAATTAGGACCTAACAAGATCCCCAGGTGCTCAGTGCACATGAAACTCTGGGAAGCACTGAGAGCCAGCACTGTACAGAAAGTGGTGTTTAGAGGTGAGGGGTAGGTTGGGAGAGTGAATTCGTGAAAAAAGGAGCTGACTTGTCCCATTCCCTAAACAGGGATGATCAAAGTAACGAATCTGCCCATTCTTAAGGAAGATGTTAAGTGTTGAATATTGGTTATCAGAGCTGGGCACACAATGGTTTTAGCTTCCCAGTATCTTTGGGAAATAACCAGTGGTAAAATAAAGGAGATGTGAGTACCTGGCCTTCTCTAGAGGTGGATCCCTGTGGACTTGGCTCATCATTTTTATTCTTTGCTTGCTCTTCTCATCTTTCTTTACCCACAGACTTGGTTAAAGTTACTTATGATGTAGGATGAAGGAGTTGATCCTCAGTCCCTGTCCAAGCAGCTGGGTAAAGCTGTAGTCTTAGAATGAGGTGAGTAGGAGGCTGGTGCCCAAGCCTCTTAGTTGGTTTGCTGTTCTTAATGTTTTCTGACTTTAGTCTTTTCGTATCCCAGGGCAACTAAAGATGCTAATGTCTTAGTTTCTGGAATTGAGGATACACTGATTTTGCTGATTCTCTAGGTTAATGGAAAGGAGTCTTGCCTTAAATATTTTAAATGGTGAAGGGGTTAAGGCATTATTCCTTGGCTTTAAATCTTGTTTAGGGCAAGACAAAAGTCAATATACAGTTAATCATACCTCCACTTAAAAAAATTTGTCAGTTTATATTGTATGTTCCAGTTCTCTTGGTGGTGGGGTGGAGGGGAGAGGCTCAGGATTTCTATTTAAGAAGGGCTTAGGAGCTGCAGTCTGGTTGGGAGGGAGGCTAGGAGACCTGTGTGAAGCTGTGGTTGTATGGCAGGCCCACTGCTTATTTGGAGTGTGTGAAATTACCGTGACAGGTGGTGGAAGCTTGGAAGGCCCCTCCACCCCATGTGACTGCTGGCCCACCTGTGTGGTTAGAAGCCCTGTCTTACATCTTGCTTCCTGTGTGAATGTAGGTATACCCACATGGATACATATTGCAAATTCAACTTCCTAATTATGATTTTCTTAGGCTAATCCTTGCATATAGCAATTTATACATTGTTTTTAATTTTCTCTGCACATGTAATTTAGAAATGATTTTAATTATTTAGATACTATTTTATAACAAAAAATTTAATTTCTCCCTTTTATAAGTAATACCTGCTCATTGTAGGAGAATTTGGAAAGCACAGAAAAGTCAAAAGAAGAGAAATAATTACCCATACATAGTCTTGCCATATGAAGCTTTCCACTGTTAACATTTTGGCTTGTATCCTTCCAGTCTTTTTCCTTTGCAAATTTCTTCTTACATAACTGTGTTAATAATGTATATTCAATTTTATAACTTGATCATCCCCCCCCCCCTTTTTTTTTTTGGTGAGGAAGATTAGCCCTCAGCTAACATCTGTTGCCGATCCTCCTCTTTTTGCTGAGGAAGATTGACCCTGGGCTAACATCCACGCCCATCTTCCTCTACTTTATATGTGGGACGCCTGCCATAACATGGCTTGATAAGTGGTGCGTAGGTCCGTGCCCAAGATCCGAACCTGTGAACCCTGGGCCGCCAAAGTGGAACATGTGGACTTAACCACTACACCACCGGGCCGGTCCCCTGATCATTCCCTTTTGACGTTACATTATGAGTGTTTTCTTTGTAAATATGATTTAAAATTGCTGCATAATATTCTTTTATGTACGTGTACTTGAATTTTAAAATTGTGCTCTTATTGTTGGATATTGCAGTTTTTGACAGTTTTACCTTTATAAATAATACTTTGATGAACACCTTTGTGCAAAAAGCCCTTTTGTATATTGGGTTATTTCCTTAGGGTAAACTCCCAGAAGCAGAATTATTGGGTCAAAAGATGTGAACTTTATTAAGGTATATGATTGAATTTCCAAAAAGAATGGTTGGTCTTAGCTTCTGAGACTGCGCTGAGCTCAGTCTTCTGGTTGCCTGTTTACAGTTGCTGTGGCCTGTCCCTGCCATTCATCTGTGAGATGGAGCAGCCCTGCCTGCCCTGTGGTGTGTCATGAGATTAACGCATGTTTGTGGAGCTCTTTGCAGCAGCTCACCTGAGTGCCAGGAGTTATGATGACAATGCTAATATTTCTTTTGGGCAGATGAAAACTCAAGCGTCCTAAGTTTAGTGTTTTTATTCTTTCAGACAGTCTTTCTGCCTGGCTGTAGTTCACTGAGGCAATGATGTAGATGGATAGACTCCAG